CCCCCTTCCCTTCTTATTGTTAGCCGCCCTGAGTCTTCCGGGAGTAGGGCGGCATACAAGCTAAATAAAACTCAAACTCAAGAACAACTTATCATCCCTAACCTCCACCCATCTGCCCCACAACTGCAAAACAGGAGGCCTCCTGGGGACATTGTCTTCCCCAAGAAGCCACATGGCCTCCAAGGTGATTGGCAAGTGCCAACCCACAGAGAAGCCAAAGAGACAGAAGCCAGGCAGAAAAGATCTTGCCTGATCTTCTCAAGAGGGCCTGCATCCCCTGAGACAGTTGGGTCTATGGGAGGAGGTGTAGGCTCAGGTGGGCAAAGAAAAGGAGCCACGTTAGCATCACCCTTCCAACTGTCACTCATCCCTTCACAGAGCAAGAAGGTGTATTCTTCCCAAACAGCAACAGGGGTTGAGGAACACCTTATCCACCCCTAAGCTCCATGTCTTGGGGGCATCACCAGAAAAAAGGAGGATCTCCTGGGAACATTGTCCTCCTAAAAGAATCACACGACTTTCAGGATATGTGGCAAGTCTAATTTCAAAGGATGCCCGTAGGAGTAGACACACCAGGCACGTGTTACATACTACATCCTGCCCTCCCTTTTCCTCCTGGGAATCTGCAGTGGATGGAGCCATGGCTCTCCCTGAAGCATTGCAGGCAAGGAAAGCTTGAGAGTCAGAGTTACCTGGCACAGTTGGCCGTGTGGGAGAAGGCGTTGGTTCTGGTTCTGTTGGAGAAAGAGAAGAAGCGAAGTTATGATCAACCCTCCTGTTGTCATTCATCCCTTAGGAGAAGGGAATGAGGTCTTAGCAATGGAAAAAGAAGGGACAGAGGACATCCTATTAGCCTTCAATCTCCACCTATTGCGTCCCTCCCTGGGAACCTGGGTGATCTCAGGAACGTCCTTCAAACGTTGCCATTATAATAGATTTGAGGGGAAGGATTACCTGCCGTAGTGGGCTCTGTGGGTGTAGGTGTCGGTTCTGAGGAACAAAAGAAATAGTTCAAGTTAGGCTCAACCCTCCTGTTGTCCTTCATCCCTTAGGAGAAGGGAATTAGGTGTTCGTAGCAATGGAACAAGAAGGGCCAGAGGACATCCTATTGGCCTTCAACCTCCACCTATTACACCCATCCCTGGGAACCTGGGTGGTCTCAGGAAGGTCCTTCAAGCGTTGCCGTTTGGGGGGCAGGATTACCTGGCGTAGTGGGCTCCGTGGTTGTAGGTGTCGGTTCTGGTGGACAAAGAAAAGAAGGCAGGTTTAGGATCAACCCCCCTAATAGCACTTAGACGTACGTACCGCTTCCTAGTGCTTTACAGTTCTCTCTAACAGTGTACAAGATTGGGGGCAAAAGAAGAAGGGGAAGGCAGAAAAGGAGGTCGCTGGATGGGGTCACCGAAGCAGTCGGTGTGAGGTTAAATGGACTCCGGAGGATGGTAGAGGCCAGGAAGGCCGGGAGGAACGTTGTCCATGGGGTCACAAACACAAACATAAACTTTGCTCTGTACTTGACAGAGTA